ATGGAGTCATGTACTGGACCGTTCAGCAAGCATGGCATCCCTCACCTTCTTTTTCACATATTTAGTCCCTTTAGCTTCTAAAAGCAGGAAACCCTCCCCCCACTTAAGTAAGAAATTTAATTAAATATAAATTTTTATCAAATATAAATTTTTTGACCTTTTTTTATTATTTTTGAAAACTGCACAAGAAATCCTCCTGTTTTGAAAACTGTGCCTCCCAAAAATCAATTATCAATGTAATTCTGAACATCGTCGAGTTATCCGAGTTTTCTGTTCCGAGCGGTATAGTAATTTGCTAAATTTTAGTCTGGGAGATGCATTTTTAGTCACTATATGTCACTAAACTTGATTCTTAGCCACCAACCCCCCTCCCAGCTTTAATTTTCTGATGCCCTCTCTGAAAAGTTTTCTATGCCTCTTTCACTCATTTTGCAATGACATCAGAACGAAATTCATATTGGACATGGCGGATATGAAGATCCCGAAGATATCTAATCAATTTTGCGTTTTTTATAATTGCAAACAATCAAGAATTAGAAAGCCGGTTCTATTCATTTGTAGTTAAAAATCAGATACATTGTGTGTTACGAAGGTAGCTATCGTGTGTTTCATTGAGTAACTTTCGGGTTGCTGTCTTTTGCCCCTCAGACATTCCAGTAAAAGCACAGGGTGTTGAGGAAATGCAGTAAACTTAAGGAACTATAAAGGAACTATTAAAGAACTTTTAGTACTACAGTTTGATAAAAAATGGTCCAAAAATAAGGAACCTCAAGAACTAGGCCCTGTGTTAGGTTCCTTATAAGAAACGTGCACCTCATTTTATGAATTACATATATCGATTGATGGAAAAGATAAAAAAAAGTAGAAAGGAAAATTAGAAATGTATCTACCTAAAATCTTGCATAACTGCTTCTTCTCTGTTTCCTTCAATGTTTGGTCTTCTACTTGTATTAATTAGCGAAGTAGTATGTGGGACCACACCACGCCGCATTGGCAAGAATGGCCTCGGAGGCCTGACCGCTGATGGTACGGCATTTTCTACGGTGTTTGCTGAACTAGAGCCCTGTTGCTCAAGACGCTCTATGCGTTCAATGGCATCTTTTAGTGCGGATTTGATATCTTTACTTTCCTCCATGATATTATACGTCTATCTTTATCCAGGGGTGGCGCTAGAGACAAACCTTCAAGGTGCCGAAGTTTATATTCTCCGTAACTGCCGACGCTGGATGTGTCAAATTGCCGACAGAAAAAAAATTCGATTTGCCCCATATAGCTGGCAGGGCCGTCGCGAGGCAAGCCTCGTTGGGGGGGAATGTGGAATGCAAATTTACATGATTAAAAAATTATTGCCTGAAACTTTTTAGCTGGTGTCACAGACCTCTGCAATACATTTTGTCAATCTAACTCTGTATGATAATAACCGACTTTCCTAATAGTTTTGTCAAATCCAGCCATTGATTGATGTTCGCGCTAGTGAGCGGACGTGTTTTATTTGGCGGTAACATGAAAGAACTTGAAATACTTCACGCTGTCAAATAACTAATTTGGTGAACTCTTTTTATGTTTTTTTTCTTTTAATTTTATGTTTTAAAATGACACAGAGTTTAAATAATATTTATAAAAATGGAGATGAATAAAGAAATCAAAGACTTCATTTTACAAAGCTTGAGTGCTGTGGAAAATCGCCTTGGTAAAACAATTGCTGGAATCCAAGACACAGTAAAAACAGAAATAGAAAATACTCTTGGCTCTCGTCTAACAAACATTGAAAAAAAACTGGTTGACATTGAAAACTCTCAACAATTTCAAGCCGACCAATACGAAACTTTTCGGACACAAGTTGGGAATCTTATGCGTGAGAACATTGAACTGAAAAAGGAAAACGAAAGTTTGGCCTCTCGTATCATCAAGCTAGAGAAGAAAGACGATCAACGTGCTAAAACAATTGATGACCTTGAGCAGTATGGTAGGAGAGAAATGCTCGAGTTTGGTGGTATTCCGCGCGATGATAAGGAAAATTGTGAAGTAATAGTCCTTAACATAGCAGAAAAAATTGATATCCCACTAAAGGAAGACGACATCGAAGCATGCCATCGCATTTCACGCAGGCCTGATGCCCCTATAATCGTCAAATTCAAATCGAGGAAAAAGAAGGAGCAATTCATGTCAAAAGAGTCAAAAACCAAAGCTAAGAAACTTCGCACCACAGATCTCGGTTACGATTTGCAGCCCGACCCTAATAACCCAAACAAAGGAAAAATCTTCATCAACGAAAGCCTGACCAGCCGTCTCAAAAACCTACTGCGCCTAACGAAGATCAAAAAACAAGAAATGAACATTAAATTCATCTGGACACGAAATGGCTCAATATTCTTACGTAAAGATGAAAAGGCCCCAGCCCTTAAGGTAAATTTCATTGCGGACCTGGATAAAATAGAGTGAGATACTTTTTTTCCTTTTCTTCTGTTCAGCCATTATTCAAAAACAGTTTTTATTAATTTTATATCTAATTTATGTAACTTTCAAATACCTACAAACAACCCTTAAAAATAAAAATGAGTGAAAACAGACTCTGCCCTAGGTGTAACAAAATAGTCTGCGATAATCACAACTCAATTTGTTGTGATTTCTGTGATTTCTGGTTTCATTTAAAATGTTCAGGTTTAAAAAAAAAGGATTTTAAGATTCTCGCAAACGACGAAGTTAGTACTTGGTCTTGCCGCCCATGCCGCAACACCGTGTTTCCTTTTCAAAACCTTGATGACGCCAAACTCAATAGGGAGCTTAATTTTACTGCAAGTGCTAAATCCGTCTCCAAATTCAATCTTATCACATCTGCATCAACAGGATATGACAAAACTTGTTCGGTCTGTAAGAAGTCTATCCGCTCTGCCATAAATTCCATTCCCTGTGGTCAATGCCTTCATCTCATTCACAAAAAATGTGCCAAGTTAAACACTTTCTGTATAAATGAAGTTGATTCTCATTTAACATCTTGGCAATGTCCACACTGCATCTCTAGTCTATTATCTTCACTTCCTTTCTCGCAGATCGACAACGATGAACTGTCTACTCTTTCTTTCAACTCCAATTTCTCATGTAAATGTCAATCCTCGGGTATCTCCCTAGTAAACTATAGTCACCTTGATAGCCTTAAAACTTGTAAACTAGCTTTTAAAGAACACGAAATGCTATTCAAAAATGATGTTGATACCAATCTAGATGACAGCACTAATTTTAACTACTATGATAACCATGAATTCCATAAACTTACTCAAAAGCTAAACCTAAATAAAAATAATACCTCGGGTATTCTACACACAAACATCTCCTCCGTCCGGAAAAATCTTGGAAACCTACAAACTCTGCTCTGTAACCTTGACTATAGATTTGATATTCTAGCACTTACTGAAACTTGGCACACCAAGCAAAACAATGCCTGTATAAGTCAGCTCAGGTTAGAAGGCTACCATGACTATCAAGGACTAACAGGCAATAGCCTTAAGGGTGGCTGTGGCCTTTTTCTAGCTGACCACCTATCTTTTCTTCGACGTGACGATCTTTCAAAAGCTTCAAAAGATAAAAATTGCGAATTCGAATCACTCTGGATTGAGATTAATAACCCTAAGGGAAAAAATACCTTGATCGGTGTTGCATACAAGCATCCCTGCAAAGATTCTTCAGGTTTTCTAAAATACCTTGAAACTGTTCTTAACAAAATAGGCCGAGAAAACAAATTAGTCATACTAAGCGGAGATTTCAACCTTAATCTTCTAAAATTTGATAAAATACCATGTGCTGATTCCTTTCTTAACTTAATGCTTGCAAACTTTCTAAAACCATTAATTATCCAACCAACGAGAATAAATGATACTTCTACTCCTAGTTTAATTGATAATATATTCATCAATTCTCTTCAACTGAACGCAGTTAGTGGAAATCTTATCGATAAGGTTTCAGATCATCTACCCAATTTCGTAATATATGATGCAAAAGGTAAAAATAACACCAAAGACATAACAATGTCGCGAGATTATCGAAACTTTGTTAATAAAAATTACATAGATGATATCAATAAAATAGATTTTAATTCTAGTCTTGTAAACTCAAATGACCTAGATACAAAATATAACTTGTTTCAATCTCAGCTGTTAACTATTATTAATAAACACGCCCCACTGAGACAAAGAACCAGACGACAACGTAAACAACAGCTTAAACCCTGGATTTCCAACGGTATCTTAAAGTCTATTTCAACTAAAAATTCACTCTATAAAAAGTTTATTAAAACTAAAGACAATTTCTGGTTCCAACGTTATAAAATTTACAAAAACAAGCTAAATCACGTCATAAGACTGAGCAAAAAACTGTATCACTTGTCCTATTTTGAAACTTATAAAAATAATTCTAAAAAAATTTGGCAAGGCATCAACGACCTTCTTCGTAAAAATAAAGCAAAAAATTCACGCAGCTTCCAATTGAATATTGCAGGTAGCTTGTTATCGGATCGTAAAAGTGTAGCAAATGCTTTCAACAATTTCTT